ATAAAAACATCGATATACGCAACCATATATAAATCTAAAAAAAAAATCAGTTTGTCTGACGATCGCAAATGGCATGAAACCCTGGGTCACAAACTCACATCAATCCAACTAAATATGTTAGCTCTATCACTGATATTGAGCGCTTTCCAATAAGTATCGCGCATATATAATATATAAATAATATATATAAAAAATTGCATATCTATCTATCTATCTATCTATCTCTCTCTCTCTATATATATATATATATATATATATATATATATAGAGAGAGAGAGAAAAGATAATGCATGTTTGATTAAATAATATAGACAAGTTTTGTCTATATATTTTAAGCAAGTTCCTTTCATATTGTCTGATAAGCTTAATCAAATTATCGCGGAAAGACGAAAGGAAAACATCATATTGATACATGTTTAAATCCAATCTAAGCTTTCGGCTTACACAAGCCATTATTTAGATGACAATTTCAATAAATCAAAACAACACACGGACGAAACAAAAATGATTGTCCGCCCTTGCTGCATGAAAATTTCCAAGTAAACCGAAAGTTTAGATTGGATTTAAACATGTATCAATATATATATATTTTTTCCTTTTGTCTTTCAACGATAATGTGATTAAGCTTATCAGACAATATGAAAGGAACTTACTTAAAATAGACAAAATTTGTCTATATTATTTAATCAAACATGCATTAATGAAGGATTGCTGCCTAAATACTAAATATACACAATATATATATATATATATATATATATACATTTTATATATATATATATATATATATATATATATATATATATATATTCATATACATACACATTTTACATATATATATATTTATATCCATAAACATGCACATTTTACATATAATTATATATATGGAATTTGTAGGTCTGATGAATTGGATCGTATTTACGATTCCAATGGAATAAATTATGACCATGGAATGTTAGTGTTTAAGCCTTTTTTATTATATATATATATATATATATATATATATATATATATATATATATACATACACACTTTACACACACACACACACACACACACACATATATATATATATATATATATATTCATTTCCATGCACATTTTACATGATGATGACTCATGTTCAAACATAATAGACATTTGTTGTCTATTATATGTTTGAATATATATACATATATATATATATATATATATATATATATATGTGTGTGTGTGTGTGTGTGTGTGTGTGTGTGTGTGTGTGTGTGTGTGTAGTTATGCCTTCAGATACGAGCGTACCGACATACGAGTTCTTTGAGATACGAATCGGAGTTCGGCCGATTTTAACTTTTTGCACGAATTGAATTTTGAGATCTTAGCGAGTTTCAGTTAAACATGCCGTTAGTTTGCATAGGGAGAGCCAAGCTTCAAGAGTATTTTTCACTCGCAGTACATGTGTTCACCTCGCTCTGGAAGGATCTCTGTTGTGTTGTGTCTTTTTTTTTTTTTTTGGCCCTTATTTTGTAAAATTCCTTTCGTGATACAATAGATCCAAAGAAAGTAAGTGTAAAGAGCAGTGACGAAAAACCGAAACATACGATTTCGCTTGAGGCAAAGTGGGAAACCATAAAAAAGCGCGTGGAAGACGTACGAGTCTTGGATTTGGCGAGACAGTAGAAGAGTTCTACACCGACGAATAATAAAAAATTGTAAAATTAAAAAAATTAAAAAAAGAAAATTAATTAAAAGTAATGGATAAAATGTAAATCAATTTAAAAAAAAAGAAATTAAGTAATCTAATTAACATTCGGTATCGTAAACTGGAACAGATTGGAAAGATTCCCATTAATTTCAATGGGGAAAATGGATTTGAGATACGAGTCTTTTGAGTTATGAGCTCGCTCTTGGAACGAATTAAACTCGTATCTCAGGCACACACACACACACACACACACACACACACACACACACACACACACACACACACACACACAGATATATATACATATATATATATATATATATATATATATGTATGCCCGTATGTGTGTATATGTGTTATGGGACCTTAATAACATAATGGACTATTCCATACGTAATAAATACTGCGCCTCAAGAGGAAGCAGGGAGTTCCGTCTGAAGTCTGGAGTGAAGTCCGCCAGGAGTCTGTCAGTCAGTCAGAGCGAGCGAGTCAGTCAGTCGAGTCAGAGGCAGTCCGAAACAGAGTCGCTTTCAGACAATTACTACTAAACCTGATTGTTCGTACTAACACTTTTCTTCCTCTCTGTATATATTTCTGTTTGTAATATAGCTGTGTTATTCCATATCCGCCTTCGAGTTCTTCTTTATTGGTTCTACCTTGGACTATCACCGTGGTACAAAGAACCGGGCCATAACAATATGTGTCAGCACATTTTAATAAAGATGGAAGCCCTGGGTATGACGATAAACTACATCCGCGTCCTGGATAAGACGATAAACTACGTCCAACAGCAAGGCCTTTGATAATACGTTTTTGAAAAAATAATGTTGCCAGCTGTACATTTTTGAAAAAATAATATTACCGGCTATACATTTTTGAGGAAAAATTATTAACAGAAATAGATTTTCGACAAATCAAAAATATTACCAGGAGAAAAAAAAAGTTGTCGGCATTAAATAACTCATTGAGAGTGATATGCTGTAAAACAAAATAAACCAAACCAAACCAAAGTTGGAAGAGATGTAATAAAAATTCTTATCAGGCCAAAGATTTCGTATTTTTCGGATTGAGACCATTACCAAGATTTGAATTTTAGCCCAATCCAAATAGATTTTTTCTATTAGTTCGCCTTACTCTCGACCACTTCTTTTCTATTTAATTATTTACTATTTTATTTTTGACACTCAGAATGCATCATACTTATGATAAAACCCAGGTTGTGTGTGTGTGTGTGTGTGTGTCTGTACGTTTATATATTGGATTAGATTTCCTACATTTTTCAACCGATTTCAACAAAACTTCACAGGACTACGTAAAATTACCTTGCAGTGGTTCTGACAGCGCCAAAAATTGGAAAAACACAATTGTTTTTGCACGAAATCAATTTGAAAACACGATTAAGAGGCATCGCGAGAATGAAAGGGACAACTCATATCGAGTTATACTTATTATAAAACCCAGTTTTGTTTGTGTGTGTGTGTGTGTGTGTCTGTGTGTGTGTGTGTGTTCGTTTATATATGGGATCGGATTTCCTACATTTTCAACCGATTTCAACAAAACTTCACTTTTTTTTTTTTTTTGGCAGGTAGTGTTTCTTATTGTCTTGCACACTTTTTCTTTATTTTTACATTCAGAATGCTTTAAAAATTCCATTTACAAGACAATTGTTTATAATAAAATTCTATTCAATCGGTAGACTCATAACGATTGAAAACAATGTTTTTGTTTGAGTTTGGGTTTGACCAATTCGTAAAAACAAAAAAAAAAAAAACAAAACTAATTAAGACATGCGTGTCCGTCAACCTTAAACAATAATCTTTGTCAATTTTATTTTTCAGTCTTTATGATGGTCGATACTTGATCTATCTCTTACTGTTACATCCCCGGGCAACGCCGGGCTCTACTGCTAGTATATATATATATATATATATATATATATATATATATATATATATATATATATATATATAGAAGGCACAACGGACAGAGGAAAACAGAGACGAGCTTGTGTAAATAGATGGAAAATCAAGTATTGAAGGGACACGAAAAAAAGATACTGGCATTTAAAATGTGTCCCAACGACTGTAAGCTTTTCATATCTGGTTTGGGGTCACTTGTTTCCAAATGTTTTCATTTATTTATCTATTATTTTACTTTCGTTTAGTCAAGTGGGTGGCTGCTTTTGAAGACCCTATTTCACAGACTTTATTGCTGAGCATAAAAAATACGAAACACTTTAGATAAAACACCACACCATCCCTTTTTATTAGGACTACTGTCACAGATCCCATTTTAGCAATTCAATTAAAATTTTAACGGCCAATTCCACTTTCTTTTGGTTTGACGACAGAGGTTGATGGGGGTTATTATACAACTGTAGAGTGCCGTGTGGGTTTGCGAGTGTTGTTGAATTAGGAACACATGCTGTTTATTCCCTGCTAGAAGGTCCAACTACAAGAAAATGGCGGACTCAAGTTGAGTCCAACCGAAGATGTAAAAGAAGATAAACAAAACCGATATATATATATATATATATATATATATATATATATATATATATATGTCAACAAATATATGTATTAAATAACAAATTTACAAGTGACAAAGGTATTAACATTTGTGTTTGTGTGTGGACATAAAGAGTTTGTTTTTTGGTGAATGTTCGTACGTACGTGTATGTGTGTTTCATGGTGTTTCCCCACAAGTGGGCAAAACGCGGATTTCTAGATTACATTTTTAAATGCGTCCGCTGAACTGCAAAGTGAAAAAGAGAACGAAGCAAGAAGTCGCCCAGTATTTATAGTATAGGGAGAGCGACCCCTAGTGAACAATTAGGGAATTAAGGAGGAGCTAACTCCAACAATAGTTCCTGTTTTGGAAAGGTTTATCTGAGTGACGTCAGTTTTATCTCCCAGAGATCTCGTGCCAAAAGAGAACGAGGCAATAAGTCGCCCATTATTTATAGTGTAGAGAGAGCGACCCCTAGTGAACAATTAGGGAATTAAGGAGGAGCTAACTCCGACACAACCATCTCAGCCACCAAGAAGGTTCGGCGTCGTTTGATATTTTTGCTTAACGACACTGGATTAAATGGGAGTGAAAGTAAAGGCGGGAAGACTCTGTAGCACCAATCATTAGAATCTTTTATTTAACTATGGACTTGAAGATTAGAAATGAAAATCTTGACTTTTACCTTTTGATAAACACCGATTGATGACGTCAGTCAGTAATATGAAACTGTCTTTCCTACGAGGACGGACATATTAAAATCAGTTTTCCTTTCCCGGTTCAGAATTCATACAAGACAAAACCATTTTTCTCACCTACAGACAATTTCCGTTGAGTCGTTGATATACTGGAATGAGCGGTAAGAGCAGAAGAAAGGCGACCTCACTGCTTGAGGTTCTCTCCTGAAATGATATCACTACAATAGCAAAGAAAAAAGAATTCCCATTATTAAGATTTTTTTTTTTTTAAAAAAAGTCCGTCTTTGCGCAAATCATCAGACAATTTTTATTGAATCTGAATTAAAGACAAAAAATTTTTGTTTTGTTTTCCAATCCTGCCGAAGAGCAAATCTGAGTTTGATGCACGTGGCAATCGTCAGACACAAATTAGAAACATTCAAAGAATTTTTATTTGTGCTTAAAGATCCCTATGTACATTTTTAGTATATATATATATATATATATATATATATATATATATATACACGCACAAACACACACACACACACAGAGAGAGAGAGAGAGAGAGAGAGAGAAAGAGAGAGACAAGGAATAAAGACAAATGTCTCTCCGTCCCTTCTTCTCTGTACGCATCCACCCACTGAGAAAGACCTTCGCTCCTATTGCAACAAAAGCACGACATCTCGGCGGTTCAAATTTCAATTGCATTAATAATCTGTTCGTCTTCCTTATACGGAATTATTTCCTTTTCTTTTGTCAGACTTTGACGAAACCATTTTTTAATTCAATTTATGCGATGCGTGTGAGAATGTCTACATTTGAGGTAAACGAGTATAGACCAATGATGCATATTTCAATCCACCAACGCAGCAGATATTTTTCAAGTCAAGGATTGTTTAATAGTTTAATAGTTGTGTATATATATATATATATATATATATATATATATATATATATATATATATATGTGTGTGTGTGTGTGTGTGTGTGTGTGTGTGTGTGTGTACATATATATATATATATATATATATATAAATACAAATATAGGTAACTATACGCGTTTCGAAAAAACCTCGAATTTTTGATTTGCCAATAATCAAATCAATCTCGAGGGGAAAAAAGGTTTTAAAAAAAAAGAAAGAGCTAGAAACTTGAAAGTCTGTCGAAAAAAAATCGCACAGATACAGGTTTGAAGCCCAAAGAAAAAAACCCCGACACGAGTAAACAACTAACAAAAGAGCTCAATACAACCGTAGAGCAGACCTAGATAAACCTAGTGAGCCAGACAAACCTACCCAGGTTTCTGTGGTATACCAATGTACTATCTCATCCATTGAGAGTCCTAATACTAATATGATATACATTGGGTTTACGAAGAATGAATTTAAAACCAGATGGAGGCAGCATAAGTGCTCTTTCAACAATATAAATAAAAGAAATCAGACATATCTATCTAAATATTTTTGGCATTTGAAGGAAATGAATAAAACACCAAATATAAAATGGAAAATTATAAACAAAACTAGAACTTGTAAATCTTGAGATGACCCATACCCTTTATGCCTACATGAAAAACTACACATTATTAAGTTTCCAAATAATAAAAATCTATTAAACAATAGACAGGAGTTAAAGGTTTTTTGCCGACATCATCAAAGTTTTGCATTGAATAATTAGCATAAAAACAAACAAACAATAAAATAATTTTTAAATTCCATAGTCTTATAAATAGTTTAAATGCCCTACAAAAAAGATAACCCTTTATGAAGTCGTCAAAGAACAAATATTAGCGATTTACGACAGTTTTTATATGCACAAAACCCTTTCAGAAAAAAGTAAAAAATAAAATAAAAAAATAAATAAATCTCCATAGACGCTTAACCAAACTAGACGATGTCATCTTCCGCTTTAAATTTAGACACCCCAACCTTAACCTGACTTGACATCTGTGAATGTAACTGAGATATTGATACAAATTATTAAACCTTACGCCCCTTTTCTTTAAACAATTGCTCTAGGCGTTACCATAGAAATTTTTATATCAATAATGAATATGCTTATAAAACGTTATTCCCAAAAAAATCGCTTAGTACTTTAATTCAATTTAATTCAAATAATTATATTGAAGTTTTCAGCTCTTGTTTTGAAAAATGAGAACTCTTATGTAGCGTGTTGGAATCATATTTTAAATAAATAATTATATATATATATATATATATATATATATATATTCAATAACTAGATAGGCAATGACTGGCTACTACTTTCAAGTTTCATGTGTTTTCTCACAATCTTCAGGTAGCCAGTAATATTTACCGACCACCCCACGAGGTGGGATGTGGCACGAGGCCGAATTTAATGTGGGGCAATCCGAATCCGTAGGCTCGGCCAAAAATTACCCAGAAACTCCGCATAAACTGGGTCGGGTCTGTCTAGCCTAGCCCGGGTTCCTCTCTGCCAGAAGGCCGAGAATTCGACAACAGCTAAGAGCTGAGCGCGTGGCCAGCTCCAGCTGCCTAACTACCTGATCTTCAGGTAGCCAGTAATTTGCAGTAATAAGATGATTACCTTATATACCACCGGACGAGTACAATTTAACAAGCAAACCAAACTCGCACAGTAAGGAGGGTAGATCATCCAGCCAAGATCTAAAAATGGCAAAAAAAAAAAAAAAAAAAGAATTTAACCTGCAAAGGTTTGCCAGTATAGCAAAATGCGGTCAATGACAAGAGAAACTAGTGTTATGGTTCAGGAGCTGAAGCATTAAACCCAAAAAGTTCTCAGCTGGACCAGACAACCAAATTCACGCTAAAAGCATATATGATTCCAAGGTCTGAATAAGCAGCTATAAGTAGAGTCTGCCCCAAGTAGATTTCTGCCATAACCATAAAAATGGCAATCTATCTATTTTATGGCATAGAGCACTTTTATGCCAGAAGGCTACTTTTGAGCTGCTTATTTAAACCTTGTAATCATTTATATATATATATATATATATATATATATATATATATATATATATATATATATATTGTGAAAAAATAAAAAATAATTATAATGGTAGCTTTTTATTAGAAAACTGAAAAGAGATATTCATAAAAATATGATTTATTTTTATTCGGTTTTATTAACCAGTTGATAGTTATTTAGAGACGAAGAATAATTGAGTTTTGAGAATAATTCTCTAAATTTAGGCGATCCGAAAGAAAGAAAGGAAGAAAAAAATAAAAAAGAAAGAGAAATAGATAGTACAAAACCCGGCCATAAGCAAAACACGCGTAAAACTAACACAAAAACAGGTGTCAAAAGATATCCAGGTCAAAGTACCTGACCGAAATCCACGGAAAATAGAAATTGTTATATTTGGTTGAAGGAATAGAGTTTAGAAATAATGATACGAGACGGGGTAGTGAGCGGATAGGCACACGCGCGATTGATGCATAACAGATGTCGGTCAAGCACCTGACCTACTTTCGTGTCCGCGGAGTATGGGAGTTTATTATCAATTTGGTTGAAGAAATAAGATTTTAAGGACAATGGAAAAAAATATTAATAGGTAACGAACGAAAAGGGGTGTCATTGAGATGATAAGTGACCGCTGGGAAATGCATACAAAAACAAAACATTGGTACACGAATCCTGACCAGTTCTAGAGTTGAAGATAAGAACCACCCACGATGATGAGTGAAGAATATTTTCAATTTAGATAATTAAGATTTTGTTAACAGGCCCCGAGCGAAAGAAAGAGGTGAAAACAATTGTTTTAGCTCGCGGAGAGACGCCGACAGGTCGGAAAAATTCTTCTTTAAGTCGCATCTAATTAGCGGCAGGCTGTTTTGACATATGTCACATGTGAAAGAAACCGGGATCGTCATTTTCGTGCGAAAAGGACAATTCAGATTTTGTTTTTTTTAAGCAAAGTATTTCTTCCCCGCAGAACAAAGCCCCGGATTGTACACGCCCGATTGGAGACGTCACGAAGGAAGGAGGGAAGATACCGACCAGAGTCTCATTAGCCGAGGGCAGTCACATGATACATGAGGGAGGAGGAGAGACACCCGACCAGAGTCCCATTGGCCGAGAGCGGTCACGTGATGTGCGAGGGAGGAGGAAAGATGCTCGACCAGGACCCCATTGGTCGAGAGCGGTCACCTGACATACGAGAGACCAGGGGAAGCGGGTATGCGCCTCCCCCCCCCCAGAGGCACTGTATGGAAGTAGGAGTGAAAGTAAGAGAGATAATGGGAAATCAGAAATAATACGACTTTAGAATTATCAAGAAAACCCTGGCGCCGACAGACCCACCCCAGTTTGTTACGGCGTCAATAAAAGTAGGACCCCAATCGACAGAAATCAGTTGCAGGGCGGACAGCGAGGGAGCTTGAACGCGGGCGGCGGGCCCGGTTCATTCGCCCCTTTGCGGGCAAGAGAATCTGGAGTGAAGAAATTCGTCCAGCCCAAGTCGAAGTGAAGAAAATTGCCCGAAAGCCTAAGAAGAGTTGGAGCTGCAGCCCGAAAGTCGAAGAGAGGTTAAAGTTGCAGACCGGACAGGCAGAAGAGTTGCAGACCGGACAGGCAGAAGAGTTGCAGGCCGGACAGACAGAAGAGTGGTAGGCCGGACAGACAGAAGAGTGGCAGGCCGGACAGGCAGAAGAGTTGCAGGGCGGACGGCGAGACAGTTGCAGGCCGGACAGGCAGAGAAGTTGCAGTTGGAGTTGGGTTTGCGCCTCAGACGAAGAAGTTAACTTGCAGTTGTGACTAGGAGAAGTTGGAATCACACCAAGCCTATGAAGAGAAATTCGTCCAAGACAAGTCGAAGTGAATAAATTCATCCAAACTCAAGTCGAAGTGAATAAATTCGTCCACCCGAAGCAGAAGAGAAGTTAATTCGCGCACTGACGGCGAGGGAAATCAGCCGTGAACAACTGGTAGAGATCAGCGCCCAGTGTCGAAACCAAACCACACCCCGAAATGCAAAATTCTACAGAACAAGCAACTCGAAGTCTTAAAGTTGTATGGTAGAAGCTTGGTGCCACAGTCCACAAAACGGGTCGGGAGGTAGGAACAATTTTGTGTAACGAACATTTAGATATAAAAGGTTGTTACCCTTTTTTTTCAATAATTTTTGGCCTCGTGAGTTTTTCTTTTACTTGTGTGTTATCACCCCCGTTGAACCCAGCTGGCATACGGCCCCAACCCCTGTTTGATCCCGTCTGTCTAAGATCTAATCACAACGTGGGTAGGCAGACCGGAGATCAGTGCAGTTACCCTAGTAACCAGGCGTTGGAAGCGAGTTGGGAACGGCGAGGCTGATATTCATCTAACCAAAGGGTTGGAACGTCACACTTGGAGCAGCGAGGAGCGAACAGCTGACGCCGCGGCAAAGACGTCACAACTGGTGCTGTCCGTGACCAGGATATCAGAGCCTGGAGAGCACGTGACGTCACAACTGGTGCCGTGAACGAGATCGAACGACACAGTCGACGCTGCGACCGGGGGGGGGGCGACGTCACAAAGCTCTACTTCTGTATGGTGCACTGTTTTTTAAAAAATAAAAACAAAAATACTAAAGAACTGCGGATTATTTACCTAACGTGTGCTTTCCTATTTTTCTACATATCTGCACACACACACACGCACACACACACACACACACACACACACACACACACACACACACACACATATATATATATATTTCATTGAATGATATAGACACATTGTGTCTGCTTAGTTTTATAGCGATCCTTTCCAGTTATCTAATCAGTTTCTTGACGTTAAGATGATATTCATAAAGAAAGGCGCCGGAGTTTTTTCTAACCCAAGTACTTTCGATCTTATTCAAGATCATCTTCATGGGTAAATTACAAAGAAAACTTATTGCAAGTACGATAAAATCTGTATCTGTCTATATCCCTGAGATGAAGTATTATGATTACTTGCATTAATTACATTATTCGGGATGCTGTCCTCATTTTTATTGCCATATACACAACGTTCCGGTGAATGAAATTTCGAACTGAACCCTTTATTTCGTCCACCGGGGTAGATTTTTCTAGTTCCACGTGCCATGTCTCTTCCGGATGTCTCAGTTATTCCCCTTTGACTCAAATCTACTAGTTTTTGGTTCACCACAGCTGTGGCCTGGTATTGAAATCACAACTTTTTGGGTCACTGGATCTAACCAACGTCTTTATCCACTGGGCAAGTAGATGAAAATAAACACTGTATAATGAATAAATAAAAAAGAGCCTCAACTCAAATATGTGTGTGTGTGTGTATGTATATATGTATATATATATATATATATATATATATATATGTGCATATGTGTACGTGTATATATATATATATATATATATATATATATATATATATATATATAGTATATAGAAATGGACAAAGTCCGACAATTATTTTAAGATATTTTTATGTTTATACATTCTTCTTTTTTCTTTTTTATTTTCTCTTATTTTACATTTGGATACGCATTGAGCAGATATAAATGTACGTGAGAGAACCATGGAAGATTGTAGTTTAAAAACAATGACCTTGCTAATCGAACGCTCCTCTGTGGCGAAATCGGTAAAAGCATGTCAGGCTATATGACGGTTCCGTATAGGACACAGGTTCGATTCCTGTCGGAGGACGCATATTTTCTATTAAAATTTCTTGGACATTCAGGCCGGTAAATGTTGTTAATATTGTTTATTATAAACAGAGCATTTACTTAAATATTTGTATCTATAAACATAAAAAATGACTTAATATATACATATACACACACACACACACACACACACACACATATATATATATATATATATATATATTTAGTCATATTGGTGTGAGTTTGTGATCCTGGGTTTCCTTCGCCCTTACGATCGTTAGACAAATAACAAACAGTTTGTCTGACGAACGCAAGGGCATGAGACCCATATCAATATAACTAAATATGTTAGTTCTATCACTGATATTGAGCACTTTCCAATAAGTACCGAGTATATATAATATATAAATAATATTTATAGAAATTACATTAAAAATATAAATAATATATATAGAAATTACAGTAAAAATCAACTATAGTTGCACCAAGAACATAACACAAATAATAAAAAATCGCAACAGGAAAACAATCAACAAACCACCTGAACAAATTAAATCCAGGTGTAACTCTAGAATAAAGAACGAATATCCCTTAAACGGCAATTTCTTGCAGAACAATATAATATACCAAGCCACTGTAAAATGAGCAGATAACGAAATAGATATACATAGGAGTAACTGAACGACTCTGGAAACAAAGAAACTATGCACACAAAATATCCTTTACAAATAGTAAATTCGCGAAGAGCACAATGCTTTCTAAGTATATCTGGCAGATTAAAAACAAAAATATCGTGGAAAATAAAAAGTAGAACATCAGCCTTCAACTCTGCCTGTAAGTAAAAAATAGACATAATTACCTTCCCAAACCCAAATAAACTATTAAACAAAGGATCGGAGCTCATCTCGAAATGCACGAAAGGAAATTTTTACTATGCTACTTAAAAATCAAAAACTGAAAACGAACAAGAATAAATGAAAATAAATAATATAAACAAACAAAAACAAGTAAAATTAATCCAAACTAATAAATCATAAATAAATTAACAAACCACGCCCACCAAAATAATCATTAAAATTATAAAATGGACTACCAACAATACAATTGACTCTCCACAATGCATCACTGACCTGTATATATAAAAGGTCGAGCAAAAACACAACGCACACGGCCTGACGATTGCGTTTAACATTTTTCTGAAAGGGTTTTGTGTATATAAAAAAAACTGCCGTAACATTTGTTTTTTGACGACTTTATAAAGAGTTATCTTTTTTGTAGGGTATTTAAACTATTTATTAGGGGTATGGATTATAAAAATTATTTTATTGTTTCAAAAAAATAAATAAATCTCCATAGACACGTAAACCAGACTAGGCGAAATCATCTTCCGTTTTAAATTTAGACACCCCCCCATCTTACCCTGACTTGACATCTATGAATGTAACTCTATACTGATACAAATTATTAACACCTTACGCCCCTTTTCTTTAAACAATTGCTCTAGCCGTTACCATGGAAATTTTGATTTCAATAATGAATATGCTATTTAAACACGTAAATTTTAGAAATAAGTTATTCTAAAAAAAATTTCGCTTGAAGATGGAACAGAGCTTACTTTAATTCAATTTAATTCAAATAATTATATTGAAGTTTTCGTTTCATGAAACATGGGAACTCTTATGTAGCCCGTTGGAATCATATTTTTAAATAAATAATTATATTTATGCTCTACTTTTGTATCGAGCACTATTTTTAAAAATAATAACAAAATACTAAAAAAGAACTTTGGATTATTTACCTAACGAGTTCTTTCCTATTTTCTATATATTTCATATATATATATATATATATATATATATATATATATATATATATATATATATATATATATATATATATATATATATATATATATATATATGCATGGAAGTATTTTAACAGTTATCAGCACGATAATTTAAAATTGGTTAGCGAAGCAAGATCAAGTTGCATTCACTTTCGCGCTAATACATTCAGGAAGGGTTTGAATGGTTTTAATAGAAGTTTCGACTCCACTCTCTAGATTTCGTTGGATGAAAGTGAATTCAAAATGAAAAAAACAATTTCAATATTTTTCCCTAAAAGGCATGGTAAATCACAGATAATAAAAAAAGTAGGCAGTAGGGGCCATGATCATCTTCGTCTTGAAAGGACATGGAATTAAAATACACACAAGATAGATAGATATGAATAGACTGCGATAGATAGATAGATAGATAGATAGATAGATAGATAGATATGAACATACAGTAATAGATAGATATGAATGGAGTGAGATGGATAGATCGATAGATATGAACATACAGTAACAGTTAAATTGATAGATATGAACACACTGAGAAAGATATATAAATATGAACAGACTGAGATAGATAGATAGATAGATAGATAGATAGATAGATATGAACGGTCAGAGATGGATAGATCGATAGAGATGAACATACAGTAATAGATAATAGATTGATAGATAGATAAGAACACGCTGAGATAGATAGATAGATAGATATATAGATAGATAGATCTGAACAGGCAGTAATAGATGGATAGATCGATAGATGTGAACAGAGATAGATAGATAGATCGATAGATAGATAGATATGAAAGGAGTGAGATGGATAGATCGATAGATATGAATATACAGTAATAGTTAAATTGATAGATAGATATGAACAGCCTGAGATAGATAGATAGATAGATAGATATGAACATACAGTAATAGATATGAACAGACTGAGATGGGTAGATGTGAACATAGATAGATAGATATATGCGAGCAGATTGATATATATATATATATATATATATATAGATAGATAGATAGATAGAGAGAGAGAGAGAGAGAGAGAGAGAGAGAGAGAGAGAGAGAGAAGAATAAGGAAATAGTTTGCGGTAGATAGGAACAAATGGAGATCGATATTAGCAGACTGAGGTAGGTAGGTAAATATCTCCATTCAAACAGACGTATAAATTTTAGCGATACTCGGATATAGATTATTGTAATTACGCTAATTAAGTAGTCTTAATCAGTATTCACTTCGAACAAATCCGTTTATAAGCACATACACACACGAGCACCCTACTCCGACATACATGTGTTTATTTACACTGGCGTACCAAAACCCATATGAAAGCATATGTAAAAGTAATGGTCGATGGCACCACCGTACCCTGTCATAGAAATACCCAGACCTATATCGATTGTACTTTGGCCAGTCAGTGTGTGAACATCGATCTTTCTCAATTTACGTGTAAGAGAAATACCTGATGGTAGGCATTGCCGCCCCCTGTAGACAGTGCATTGACCAAACAGCGGTACTTATCGAATATTTGTTTAATCATTTCACACCAAGCAAGGCATTGAAGGACTAACACGGTAGGGGTTAGTGTGTGTGAGAGAATATGAAGAAAAGAAAACATTATTAAGGAGAGGAAATTATAAAAAAAAACTGGATTTTTTTAAAGCATTTCAACCCAAGCAAGGCGGGAGTGCCACTAGCACGCAAGGGGTTACAGAGGATTGAGAGCAAGAGTAAAGAGGAGTGATAGAGGAAACAATGAAGAGAAGGACGGGGAATAGATCAAGGCATCTGGAGATGTTGATTTACATTGCATTTGAATATTAGGATATTATAGCTATTAGGGAAGCAAGTAAGAGGAAGCGAGTTCCTCAGAAGGGAAGTGCGAGAAATGAAGCTATTGGAGTAAAAGAGACGGCTACATTTAACCGTTTCTACAGTGAAAGGGTGGGACTGAGATGCCAACCCAGTAACACGTTTAAATTCATGCAGTTTGACAACCAGCGAAAGTAGCTCGTCGGAGCAGTTAGCGTGAAAGTATTTGTAGAAAAGACAGAGGGAAGCCATGACACGTCTGTAAGATAGCAACTGTAAACGAGATGCCAGATGGAGCCAATCACATTACATTTTTAACTAATTATTCCCCAAAATATAAGGCCCAAAATCCACTCAAGTTAGAGGGTTACTGAATTAAGTTGTTGTGTGAATATAAGAGGAACAGGTAAGAGGTTCATGCTTTGAATTGTTATGATCCAGAATGATGATGATATTTCATCATTCTAAAAATAACCTTGCCATCAGCGATGATAGAAAATAAGGATATGCCATCATCCCTGAAATAAAGATAAAAAACTTCATCATCCTAAAAAAAATTGCCACCAGTGATGAAACGTGAGAAAGATATTTCATCATTTTAAAATCTGATTATAAAAAAGACCCTTCCACCACAAGCACGATTAGTCAGGAGAGTAGGGTCAATAGAGTAGCAAGTGCCAATTGCGGTAGTAGAAAGACCCAACACACACGTATTCTCATCCCTCCGGAAAATCGAAAACTGACGATTTCAAACGTTATCCTCACCAACGAAATTCTCGGAACAAGCAAAAAAAAGCACAAACTTTTAAAGAAAGAAAAGAGACAGTAACACTGAGAACATTTTTAATACACACCGTACCAATATCTGTAATGCACATCATGAAAAAGAAACATGCAAATTCTTGTTATTAATGCCAATATGTGTCTTGAGTCAAATCGTTGTACGTTTTATGCATTTTATTTTCAGTATATAAAAAAGTAAAAAGAATTCCTCTATCAACTACTTGCTATTTAACTTGAGCTACTTGATAAAATGCAAAAACAAATCTGCAATATCATTGGCCTTGATCTGGCGGCTCAGCTCCAGTCACCTTTCCAGTGTCGTAAGGCTGCCTATCTGTGTCGTTTTCTATAAACACTTTCATGGTAATTGATCGAATGAGTTTTCCGCTATGGTACCTAGAGTTTATGAATTTAAGCGCAACACTAGACTGTCGTCGAGATCTCATCAATTTACAGTTGATTTGCATAAATGTTACCGTAAGTTCTATGCTAACAGTTTCTTCTCTCGCAGTTCTCAATTGTGGAACTCCCTTCCGACTCCATGCTTTCCAGCCAACTTTAATCTGCAAAACTTTAAATGCAATGTCAATCGTTATTTTTCGTCTTAATGTTATCTCTCCTAAACCTTGTTCCGCCATCCATTTACTCAAGCTCATTCTTCTTCTTCTTCTTCTTCTTCTTCTTCTTCTTCTTCTTCTTCTATGTGCCGTGTCCCTTCAGGACGTTGGCGATCATGGCTTTCCACAATTTCCTCTCATTTGTAGCTCTTAATAAATTTTGTTTTTTGTTATCTTTCCTAAACCTTGTTTTGTTATACATTTACTCAAGCTCATTCTTCTTCTTCTATGTACCGTGTCCCTTCAGGACGTAGGCGATCATGGCTCTCCACAACGTCCTCTCCTTTTTAGCTCTTAATTTTGTATTTTTGTTATCTCTCCTAAACCATGTTCGGCCATCCATTTAAACAAGTTTATTCATCTTCTTCCATGTGCCGTGTTCCTTCATGATGTAGACGATCATGGCTCGCCACAATTTCCTCAGTGATTAGGAGTGAATGCAAGCATTACTGATAGAATAGGGCTATTATATGTATAATGTAAATGCATTGCTAATGATTTTACTATAAAAATGCATTGAAAAGCAAGAGGATTGTCAGTGGTCAGGAATGAATGCAAGCATTACTGATAGAATAGGGCTATTATATGTATAATGTAAATGCATTGCTAATGATTTTACTATAAAAATACATTGAAAATGAGGAAGAAAGGGATTGTCAGTGCTCAGGAATGAATGCAAGCATTACTGATAGAATAGGGCTATTATATGTATAATGTAAATGAATTGCTAATGATTTTACTATAAAAATGCATTGAAATTCAGGAAGAAAGGGATTGCCAATGGTCATGAATGAATGCAAGCATTAAAGATAGAATAGGGCTATTATATGTATAATGTAAATGAATTGCTAATGATTTTACTATAAAAATTCATTGAAAATCAGGAAGAAAGGGATTGTCATTGGTCAGGAACTAATGTGTCGGAGTTAGCTCCTCCTTAATTCCTTAATTGTCACTTGTGGTCATTCTTCCTATACTCTAAATACTGGTCGATTTCTCGCCTCGTCCTGTTTTTCTTTCAGGCCTCGTGCTACATCCCACCTCACGTGGATGTGAGTTAACTCCTCTTTTTCATTTCTTCATTTCAGCGACTACAATGTAAACTCTCTTAGAAAATCCGCGTCTTCCCATTTGTGGAAGACGCCGCACAACATTCACCAAAGAACAAACACAAATGTTCACACACACACGCTAATCTCATTGTCTATGTCCATTGTAAAATTGTTTTCTTTAATACATATATTTGTTTAGGCAAACAAAGAAGACCGATATATATATATATATATATATATATATATATATATATATATATATAACAAGACCGATATATATATATATTCAAGAAAGAAATTCAGATTACCAACACACAAACAGAAAATGTCTCATATCGAGAATATTTAACATTGAACATAAGGAAAAATTAACTATTTTAATAATATGTGGAAATCTCCACTTTTACCTGAAGACGGTCAGAGACCAGAAACACGTGTCGTAAAATTATGTAAAACAAAGCATAATATTTTTCTAAATAAATCTACATTACAACCAAAAACGTTTGCGGCACCTCTCTTCTCTTCTTTTAATATACATACTTTTCTCTCGTTGGAACCATTACATTATATTTCTTTTTATATATATATATATATATATATATATATATATATATATATATATATATATATCGGTCTTGTTTGTTTGTCTTCTTTATCTGCAGTTGGACTTACCTTGAGTCCGGCAATTTTCTTATAGTTGGACCTTTTAATATTCTACCAGGAGTTACACACATGTTTCTAATACAACAAGACGTAAATACACACACGGTCTTCTACAAATGCAAACATTATTGATGCAATAAGGATACTATATGAAATAGGCAAAATTTCTTAAGCTGTAAGCATTTTCATTAAACTACTAAAAGCCCTCTCTTGTTTATACCTACGTAAATTCTAGGTAACTGTTCCTTCTCTCTTGTTGGTTGCAACATGGGCTTCCAATATTGTGAATGTATTACATGTACAGGACTTGGCGTTATTGTAAAATCTTTTGGATGTTTGAATAATTTGTCAGTATTATTTTTACGGATGAATCCAGTAAGCCTCTTACGGCTAATGACTGCTTTCTCTGACTCTTCTGCAAAGAAGGAAAAAAAAAGATGGAGGAATTATTTCACAGGAAGCGAAATATTTCCACAGGGAATATGGAGGATGGTGTTAAATGTTGTATATCGCCTGACAAATGTCTTTTCTTCCTAAAACAGACTAATTGTTTTCTCGAAATTGAAGCTGAAAAAAATTGAATACATTTCATCGGCAGGTTTACGCTAAAGTTACTCTGGAAATAGCTAAGGTGGTCGACGTGAATTAAACTTAATATTTTTTTTTTGTATTAAATCACTTGTTTTGCAGTCAGCGGTTATTTCAGCCGACTCTATTGATACAAAAACTGTAAAGTGAAATTTTAGTTTGTAATGGATTATTCTCAATATTTTTTCCTCTTTGGGTTATGTCATTTGAGTGTAATCTTAGAGTGTAAATCTTAGAGGTCAGGTTTCAAATCTTGGTTCAGTTATTGCAGTTTAATTTGACCAACTTTTTTAAATATCACTTTTTTAATTTCACCCTAAGTATGGCAATAAAACCACTAAAACGCAAGGGGGCTACTGAGTGTGAGAGACTCTATATATAAAAATTCTGTGACT